TTCTTTCTTTTGACCCTGTCCCTCCTCAGAAGTGTTTGCTCCTGATTACCCCCTTTCCCAGTCTGCCCTCCTCTCTATCATTCCCCCGTTCTCTTGTCCCTTCCCCCCCCATTTTCCTGTAGGGTAAGATAGATTTCCATACCCAATTGAGTGTGTATATTATTCCCTCCTTAAGCCTAATCCTATGAGAATGAGATTCACTCATTCCCTCTCACCTTCCCCCATTTTCCCTCCACTGTAAAAGCCTTTTCTTGTCTGTTTTATGTAAGATAATTTACCCCATTCTACCTCTCTCTCCTTCTCCCAGTATAATTCTCTCTCACCCCTTAATTTTATTCTCTAGATATGACCCCTTCATCTTCAATTCACCCTGTGCCATCTCTCTCTCTCTCTCTCTCTCTCTCTCTCTCTCTCTCTCTCTCTCTCTCTCTCTCTCTCTCTCTCTCTCTCTCCATACATGCATACATATAATTTTTTCCCTCCAACTACCCTAATACTGACAAAGGAATCATGAGTTACAAATATCATCTTTCCATGCAGGAATGTAAACAGTTCAACCTTATTAAGTCTCTTATGATTTCTCTTTCCTGTTTACCTCTTCATGTTCCACTTGAGTCTTGTATTTGAAAGTCACATTTTCTATTCAGCTCTGGTCTTTTCATCAAGAATGCTTGAAAGTCCTCTATTTCATTGAATGATCATTTTTCCCCTGAAAGATTATACTCAGTTTTGCTGGGTAGGTGATTCTTGGTTTTAATCCTCTCTCCTTTACCCTCCAGAATATTATGTTCCATGCCTTCTGGTCCCTTAATGTAGAAGCTGCTAAATCTTGTGTTATTCTGATTATGTTTCCACAATACTTGAACTCTTTCTTTCTAGCTGCCTGCAATATTTTCTCCTTGACCTGGGAACTCTGGAATTTAGCTACAATATTCCTAGGAGTTTTCCTCTGGGGATCTCTTTCAGAAGGTGATTGGTGAATTCCTTCAATTTCTATTTCACCCTCTGGTTCTAGAATATCAGGGCAGTTTTCCTTGATAATTTCTTGAAAGATGATGTCAAGGCTCTTTTTTTGATCATGACTTTCAGAGAGTCCAATAATTTTTAAATTCTTTCTCCTGGATCTATTTTCCAGGTCAGTTGTTTTTTCCAATGAGATATTTCACATTGTTTTTCTATTTTTTCATTCTTTTGAATTTGTTTTACAGTGTCTTGATTTCTCATAAAGTCACTAGCTTCCAATTTCTCCATTCTAATTTTTAAGGAAGTATTTTCTTCAGTAAGCTTTTGGACTTCCTTTTCCATTTGGCCAATTTTGCTTTTCAGGGTTTTCTTCTCCTCATTGGCTTTTTGGACCTCTTTTGCCATTTCGATTAGGTTCTTTTTTTAGGTGTTATTTTCTTCAGTATTTTTTTGGGTCTCCTTTAGCAAGGTGTTGACTTGTTTTTCATGATTTTCTTGCATCACTCTCATTCTCTTCCCAGTTTTTCCTCTACTTCTCTTACTTGCTTCTCAAAATCCTTTTTGAGCTCTTCTATGGCCTGGGACTGATTCATATTTTTCTTGGAGGCTTTGGATGTAGGAGCTTTGACTTTGTTGTCTTGTTCTGGTTGCATGTTTAGATCTTCTTTGTTACCAAAGAAAGATTCTATGGTCTGACTTTTTGGACCTTTGTTTGTTCATGATCCCAGACAATTACTTGAGTTTTAAACTCTTTGTTAAGGTAGGGGTCTGCTTCCATTGTGGAGAATGTACTGTACCAATCTTCAGGGCTTTTGTGCAGCTGTTTGCAGAGATACTTCTAGGGACCTGTAAATTTTCAGTTCTTCCAAGGTGCTATGATTGAGGGTGACATGTATATTCCTTTCCTGGCCTGGGCTCTGGTCTATGAGTGACCACAAGCACTCTTTTCTGTCTTGGAACTATGAGGAGGATTTCATCTTCAGTACCACTACAAGCTCCACCATGCCAGCACTCCTCCTTGCCCCAGGACTGCCACCCAGAACTGTGACCCAGATCCAAGCACGGGCAAAGCAAGAGAATCCTGCCTCAGCACAGGCAAAGAGATCCCTGCAAACCCCCTCTGATCAGCCACTCAATTCCCCCTCAGTCTGTGGGCCAGAAGCTCTGGAAGCAGTCACCATCCCTGGAGCTACACTTAGGGACTGGGGCTGGGACCGCCCGCGCTTCTCTCTCACCACAGTCACAGACTTTTCCCACTGACCTTCTAAGTTGTCTTTAGCCTTTCTGTGTTGAGAAGTCTGGAAACTGCCACAGCTGCTCTCAATTCAGTCCTCTGAGGCCTGCTTCAGGTTCACTGAGGCCTGTTTTGCCTGTGCGCCCACACTGACCTGCACTCCTCTCCCCGCCTGGTGGGGGAGAGCCATCCAGGTTGTCTTCAGCTGTTAGTTTGTTTTAGTCTGTCTTTTTGTGGGTTCTGCAGCTTTAGAATTTGTTTAGAGCCATTTTTAAAAAAAAATTTTTTTTTGGTTAGGCAATGGGGTTAAGTGACTTGCCCAGGGTCACACAGCTAGTAAGTGTTATGTGTCTGAGGCTGGATTTGAACTCAGGTCCTCCTGAACCCAGGGCCAGTGCTCTATCCACTGCTCCACCTAGCTGCCCCCTTAGAGCCATTTTTTACAGGTATTTGGAGTCATTTGGGGGAGAGCTCAAGCAAGTCACTGCTTTTACTCCGCCATCTTGGCTCTGCCCCTCCTAATATTCTTGTATTATTTATATGATGTTAAAGCTTTGTGATCTGTCATTTTTTCCCTGGGATTCCTATGATCCTTGTGTTGCCTCTACGCATCTTATCTTCAATATTAATGTTTTACTCTTATTGACATCTTGTCCTCTTAACATTATTGCTTTTTGTTTCTCTTCTTTCATATTGTCTTTAACTTCTGTATATTCATATTCTCAATCAGTTGTTCTCTGCTTTTCTTTACAGAGACTTGACACTACGAATTCAAGTTTTTCTATGCTGCCAATTATTTCAAGCTATCAATTCTGCTTTCATGATCCTTATTTCTCTCAAACCATTCACAAACATGGTGCTATTGTTTCATGTTCTCTTGGGAATCTAAGAGATTCCTTTGTCTTGTAATTTTCCTTTGTCTTGCAATATTTACAGAGATTTTTAAGATTCATTTAGAGGTCTTCCCTCCTGTTACTTATAAGTTCTCTGTTGATTTACCTGTTTATACTAGTGGTTTTTAACCGAGTTTTCTTCATCCTGGTATCTTTAGTAATTTCACGCTTCTTTTCCTGATATTCCCCTATTGTTCACTCTCTGATTTCTTATCATTTGATAGTACATTCTTGGAGGGCTGACTCATCTTTCTTCCATGCTGGGGAATTCAATTAGTCCTGACTGAAGTGATTTATGACAGGACAAAAATGGCTCCATCTAGTTGCTAGTCCCTTTTCCTTCAGGGTGGTGCAGCCTCATATATGTATTTGCAACCTATTCCAATTCCTCCTGTTATTTTAGGTCTCTGGATTAATGCTGCTGTAGAATTACACACAGCCAACCTAGACAGAGCACACTTCTGCTTTCCTATCCCTACACTGCCATACATATTAGATCAAACGACCTTTTAAAACTTCTTGAAATGAAGTGGTAAATTGAAAAAAGTAGAAATTACCATATCAAATATTCATAGTCTCCAAACTATATGGGATGAAAAGCTTTCAAAAGAAAGATACTTAATAGAGGAGATCAAAGTCTTATAGGAATAGAATGAGGTACATATCATTCCATTAGCCCTACTTGCTATCTGAGGACTCTTGCAATGATACCACAGAGGATGAGCTTTATTTTACCCCACAGAGAAGAACCATTATGCAATGGTTCTTAGAATATTAAATATCAATCAGTTAACTTCAGGATACTGACTTGCCCTAGGATCATTTCTGTCTGAACTCCATAAAAAAGATGGGAATAACATAACAACAACAACAACAACAACAACAAAATAATGGTTAGGGATTCCTGACATAAAAGGCAGTAAGAAACAAAATATACTCAACAGCCTAAAAACGGAAAATTCTGTGAATTAATATTGCCAAGTAAATTTAGTCAACTAAGTACTGCTTTGCATCATGATTTCAGAGTTGCTCTGAAGGTGACCCAAACATTAGCTACTTTGTTAGACAAGAATACAGCACTCTATAATAATAAATCACACAATTCCATCCATTTAGATTACATCATAGTACTTTATCAAGAAAAATAACGGAATTATTTTGTGATTTAAAAAAACTGCGGGGGGGGGGCACGAGTATTCTCTACTGCAGGAAAGATTTATGCTTCTTACCTGAAGACAAGAGAGCATATGACATAGATTATTAAAGACAAATCCATAAGTAAAGCTCTGTCTGCTGGACATTTCCATCTGAATGTGTCCCATAGGCATCTTAAATTCAACATGTCCAAATCAGAACTCATTGTCTTTCCTCTCAAACTTACTCATCCTGCTAACTTTCTATGCCTATGTCTATTGTTCTGTTTTTTCCTATTACTGGAAGAATAACAGTCTTCTAGTCACTCAGGTTCAAACCTTGAAGTTATCCTTAACTTTTCTTTCTTCACTCATTCTCCATATCTAATCTTTTGCCAATTTCCTTCAGTTCTATCTTTAAGGCTCAGCTTAAGGGTCACCTCATTCAGGAGGTATTTTCCTGGCCTCTTTTCCTAATTGTTAACCTATAGGCAAATCACTTTGTACTTATTCTGTATATATTTTGAATTTATTTATTAGTGAACATATATTACTCCAAACCCATAGGAGAATAAAATTTCTTTGAAGACAGGGATTACTTACTTTTGTATATGTAGCCTCAGTGACTAGCATAATGCTTCATAAGAATAGGTGCTTAAATAATTATTATTGATTTATTAAGGGATGTACACTCTGCTAATCTTCCTTCCCCAAAGGATTTCTAAAATTTTTTTTTGCAATAATGCTTGCATAAGCAAAATAATATATGAAACTTACTTATGATAGAACATCCGTGCCATGCCCATTCTCTGCTTCTCTCCTCCTGAAAGGACATCCTTCCAATCCATGACAGCATCCCATCCTTTGAAAATCACATGTAAAAAAGCATGTTTTATTGTTAAAAAAAATTTACCCACCATTAACAATAGCTTCCTTCCCTGGAGTATCCATATGGCTTACTTATTATCAAACTAAATATAAAATAGTTCTGTATGGGGCATATACACAGAATATAGTCAATGCCAAATAAAAGCTCATTCTTCTTCATGATTTATTTTACTAAGAATTCTAAACATTATCACAATTATTTTTATTGCTTTTTTAAAATTCTTAAAATATTCTTATCAGGTAGCAAGTACAGGTATTATTCTGGAGAAGATGTTTTTAATAGAAATAAAGGCTACTTAATTTTGTCAAAGACTTTTTCAAACTTGGTCAATTTAATCTTATGGTTTTTATTATTTTTGCTATTATGGTCTCTTATATTTACATTTTCCCCTGTATGGAAAACAACACTCCTTTCCCAGTATAAACTCAAGCAAGTTCTAGGGTACAGTCTTTCACATTTCTTATCGTAGACTCTTTGCTAATATTTTATTTACCATTTTTACATCAATCATCAGGGATATTGAATTACAGTCTTATTCCTCCACTGTATTTCTCCCTGATTTAATTATCAAGCCTATATTTTTCATCACAGAAGGAATTTGGTAGGATCCTTTCTTTTCTTATTTTTGCAAACAGCTAGTACAATATTGGAATTGATCTAGTGAAAATGCACAGTAAGGGGATGGAATGTCTTGTGAGAGAAACAACAATGAAGCCAGTGTCAGAGTATGTGGAGGGAAGGAAAGAGTAAGAAGACTGGAAATGTATGATGGGGCCAGGTTATGAAGGGCTTAAAAACAGGATTTTATAGTTGATCCTGGATGTAATGGAGAGCCACTGGAATTTACTGAATGGGAAGTGACAAGGTCAGATCTATGATTTTAAAAGATCACTTTGATAGCTCAGTGGAGGATAGAATGGAGTAAGGAGAGACTTGAAGCAGAGAGACCACCTAGGAGGTTATTGAAATAATACAGGCATGAAATGATGAGGATCTACATGAGGGTGGTAGCAATATATGAGAGTAGTTGCGAAGGTAAAATCAACAGAAGTTGGCATCATATTGGTGATTGGGGGAGTGGGGTAAAAGAGAATAAGGAGTTAAGGATAACACTCAGGTTGTGAACTTGTGTGACTAAGAAGATGGTGATGCATTCAACAATATACTGATGGACTAATTCAGTAGAATATACAGTCACAATCAGGGATATATGCCTTTTTCATTCATTTAGGTTTTTTATTCCCCTCCTGGGCAAAATTAGGGCAACCTCTTTTGAGTCTCCTTGAGGAAGACCTATGACCTTCTGCCTCCTTCTACTATTCTGACAAAGACAAAATACGCACACACACACAAAACCAAACAAACAAAAGAAGGCCGCATAGGACCATTTAATCAGTAACACCAAAGAATTCATCATTTGGTGGCCAACTTTCTGATAATAAGCCTCTTTGTACCTAGCTAGGCTGATCTTCAGGCAGTAGACAGCCTATTGCTAAACTGCATTTGGAGATGTTGTACCTTGGTACACCCTACCAGATTTTGTGTTCTACTAGCAGAGCCACTGAGACCCAGAAATCACCTCCAAGACATGATGATGTATCTGAATGGAACTTTTGTGGAGTACTTTTAATTATCCCAAACTGTTCCCTTTCTCAAGACACGTCTATTCACTAATATTCTCCTGATGATGCAATACAGCTTCAAATGATTAAACACAAACTCAGAAGAATAGAAACTAGGTGTCTCAAAGAGCAATGGGAAGATGCATAATGTCTATAAACAGGCTACAGCTGCAATGATGAATTTGGCAGAATCAATGGCATAGAAGATATAATCTAGGACATATATGGCTGCAAGAGGATTTGGGTATGTCATATAGGGTAAGCCTGCCATTCCCTCTGGCCTTTTAAGCCTTCTCCTCTAAGGTTACCTTCTTTTTTGTATCTCTTCTGTATTTATTTATTTACATATTTTCCCCATTAGTGTACATATATTCATATGTATACACACACATACATACACTCTTTGAGGGCAGGGACTGTGTTTTTTTTGTTTTTGCCTTCTTTGTATCTACAGCCCTTAGCATAATGCCTAGTACATAATAAATATGTAATAAATGCCTGTTTGATGATCAATTGATTTATACAGAGCTAGGAATAACAGAAAGAGATCTTGACTGTTCTCCAAAGGCCCAGAAGACTTGTATTTCATCAACTAAATTTTCTCTGAAGAATTTATATAAACACACATATAGTTAGGCACATGCCTGTAATCCCGGCTACTAGGGAGGTTGAAGTTTACAGACCTCTTGAGTTCAGGAGTTCTTAGCTACAGTGGGCTGAGACAATCAATAAGTAACCAAGTGTCCACACTACACTTAGTATTTATATGGTAAGCTTCTGGGAGTCAGGGCATGGCTCAGGTCAGAAATGGAGCAAATCAAAGTTGCCATACAAAGTTTCCATCAAAGTTTACATACAAAGTGGGGCTGGGTTTGTGAGTAGACTCTGCACTTTCAGCCTGGGCAAGAGGGAGAATCAATCTTAAAAACAAAACAAAAAAGCCACATTTATAAGAACCACACTAGTTCAGAAGGCATGATTGTTATCTGCATATGGGTGAGAGCACAGATTTAACAAATTATCAAAAAAATATATATAATACCTGTGCTGTGGATATTGCCTTAAAAATGGTAGACTCTAGAAATTATTATTCCTAGCCAACCAGACTGTTTCCCAGAATTCACCAATTTTGGTGACATGGAATTTTTAAGAAAGAATTCTGACCACATAGGCAATTTTCTCTATCCCAGATTCTGCATATCAGGCCCCACAACCCTGAAAATTTCTGTTCTTATTGATTTTGGTCAGAATCTAAAAAGTAACAGTTATTCTTCCAGGTGAGAACTGATGAGGTATACTGGTGAGACTGCAGAGAAGATGATGGAACTTTGCTTTTTCCTGAGACAGACAAACATGAACCTTTTTGAGTTGAACCATTCTTTGCAGAAGTACTATATTTTTTCATCAAAGTTAATACTTGTCTCATTTTGGTGAACTGTGACCTCGCTTCACATAACTGAAGTTGTGACTCAGGACATCATTAACAATTTATTCAGATAAAGCTCCAGGTTACACATCATATCTCTAGATGTGTTTTTTTTTCAGTCTGAACTTGTCTGCTTTCTTAGTTGGCACTATATCTATCTGTATTGGTCTCTGTAACTAGTATCCGCTTAGATTGCGTCAAGTAATGTGTTGTCTTGGGGACACAAAGGAAAAACAAAAACATGTTCACATTCTAATGGGGGAGACAATATGCAAGTAACTGTGTACATGGAAAATATATACAGTATAATTGGAAGGTAATCTCAAAGGGAAAGGATTAGCAGGGAGTTAATTAGGGACAAGGAAAAAAAAACTTTTGGAAGAAAACAGAAATTGAGATGTTTCTTGAAGGAAAACTAGAGAAGCTAGGAGGCAAAAGCATTCCAGGCATAAAGAACCAATACAAAGTCATGGAGAAAGTAGGAACAGCAAGTAGGCCAGTATAGACAAATTGTAGAATATATTGGAGGGGGGGCAGTGAAGTGTAAGAAGACGAAGAAACGAAGGAAGGGTCAAGGTTGTAAAGGGCTTTGAATGCTAAATAGAGCATTTTACATTTTATATTAGAGGTAATATAGAACTAGTGGTTTTATTAAGTAGAGGAGTGACATATTCAAGCCTATTCAAGTTTAAGAAAATCATTTTGCAGCACAGTGGAGAATGGATTGCAGTGTGGAAAAACTTGAGGCAGGGCGACCAACTAGAAGCTATCATAAAGATTGAAGTAAAAGGTAATGAGGGAGTGTTGGCTATGTGAGTATGTATAAGAAATGCTATGAAGGTTAAAAACAAGATTTGTCAACCGAATGTATATGTAGGGATTCAAAGATGACAGCAAGGTTGCAGGCCTGGATGACTGGGAGAATGGTGGCCTTCTTAACAGTAACCAGAAAGTTGGGAAGAGAGAAGGGTTTTGGGGGGAAGACAATGAATTCTATATGAGACATATATAATATGAGACTCTTAAAGGCCTTCCAACTTAAAATGTCAAAAAGGCAGTTGGTGATACATGATTGGAGCTCCAGAAAAAAGATTAAGGTCCTTAAGGCATCATATCCTGCCAACTATGCCAAATGTTGAAGGTGACTTTAATGCCAAGACCCTCTAAGTTCAGGTTCAATGCTGGGGCAAAATGAGGCATTCACAAGTGATTGAACAGTTAACAAAGGAGGTTTAATTTGCAGGTGGTTGGCACAGCGAATGGAGTGCTGGGCCTGGAGTCAGGAAGACTCATCTTTGTGCATTTAAAACTGGCTTCAGACACTTACTTATTTTCAGACTTCTTAAATGTATTGATAAGTTTTGCTGATTTTTTCCCCTCTTACTTTTTTGTTTTAAAAATACTAGGTGTTACACAAGACAGACTCTCTGAGAGAAGTAATAGGAAGGATGGTGGAGAAACTATAGTGATTTGAAAAAACAAAAGGCACCAACAAAAGTATATTTTAAAATATTCAGAAAATCACTAATGCCAGTTTAGGAAGAAAAATGAAGTTATACTCCCAAAACAGTAGAAAGCAATGCTATAAGCAATTAATAAAGCTAATAAACAAGAACTATGCAAATTGTTTATCATTGCAACAGAAATAACAATATCATGAAAAACACCTTTAACTTTAAAGTTGTACAAACAAGTTATAAATAGCTTTGCAAACAGTTTGCAGGAAATCAAAACATTTGTTTATACCCATACTCTCATCAATATAATGCATCAGTTAATATTCCTGAGAAACAATTTTGTACAAAAATATTGATGTTAGCAACATATGATCATGTGAGAAAGAACTGTACCTCTTAGACTAAGAATAACACCAAAATAAAAACGGAAAAAGCAGGACTTTCCTGAGATCAAAACTGAAAAAAAAT